AGCGAGGAGAGCCAGCCCAAGTCCCAAAACTGAAGAACTTGGAGTCCAATGTCCAAGGGCAGGAAGCATCCAGCACAGGAGAAAGATGTAGGCTGGGGGGCTAGGCCAGTCTCTCCTTTTCAAGTTTTTCTGGCTGCTTTATATTTGCTAGAAGCTGATTAGATTTTGCGTACCAGATTAAGGATCCACCTTCCCCAGACCACTGACTCAAATGTTAATCTCTTTTGGCAACACCCACTCAGACACACCCAGGATGAATACTTTGTATCCTTCATTCCAATCAAGTTCACACTCAGTATTAACCATCACACAGGGTGTTTAATGAGAGTTAAAGATAACGTGACTATTTACAAAGATGTAGGCAGAGTTAGGGGAACAAAGAAGGGATAGTGAAGCACTCTGTTACCAGCAAGAATGTGATCCTGTTATTCTATCTGGACCTAAAGGTAGCTACTGGAAATGTGACATAATATCAGAGCTGTAAGAGATGGGAGTCCGACAAGAACCATGGAGACACAGAAAAAAGGAAGTCAAAAGAATAAATAATCTGACCTCACCATCCTCACTCCCTCTGATCTCCTATTGTCATTTCCCTTGACTTATCCCAACTAGAATCCAGTGGCAAGAAAGCCCATTGTTACGGTCGATATAGGTCAGGCTCCTGCCAAAGACCAAGATGAGAAGAGTGGCGGATAGATCTGGAGGAGCAAATAGAAAATATCCAGCACAATAGTCACTGAGTAAGTGAAAGAATATGACCGCAGACTGAAAGCAGATTGTGTGTAATGGAGAGCATAGCAAGCAAAAGGAACAGAATGTACTAAGGCCTGTGGCAGGAATGAGCATAAAGTCTTCTAAGAACGCCTGTTTTCAGGCAGAAGGACTTGGTGGAAGGCTACCTCAGCTAGTCAGAAGGGTGATCGTGTTCCAATCATAGTCAAGGAGGAAGAATAGAGGTCATGAAAATCAAGACTAAAAAGTGTCAGATGCGTGGGGTGACATGGAGGCCAAGAAATAAGAAAGAGGCCCGAATGCAGAAGACAAGGAAGGTTCAGTGAAACATTACAGGCTATGAATCTTGAATAAAGCAAGGGCATCCTGAGCTCATCCTCTTTGGGTGCTGCCTTGTGATGCAAGAGCATTTCCAGAGTCCAAATGGCAGACAAAAGTCTTAGGCCTTTCCTGAAGATATTTCAAAATGATGTTGGAATTAAAAGACTGCTATCTTGGGCCATCCCATTCAGTCATTTAGGCAACAAATATTTATTAATGGTTTTTATGTTTCCTACTGTGCTCACTAGGTACTGAGAGATGATGTGATTCCTGTCTTTGGTAAGCTCACAGGCTGAGCAGGAAAGACAACTGTGTAAATAACTACTTGTCATATCCTGTGATAAGTGCTGTTAGAGAGTGACATGCAAGGTGCCAGAGAACCCAGCCTACCCCGACTGGGGAATCAGGGAATGCATCCCTGAGATATGAGATTTGAGCTAGGTCTTGAAGGATGTTTCCCAGGTAGAAAAATGAGAGGAGGGAATGTTATCTAGGGGCAATGTATTGATCAGTGGATACCAACTACTACTAAAACGATCTCTAAATCTCAGCTGTTTATCATAATAAAATTTATTTCTTGCTCATGCCATGTCCAGTGTGTTCTGAGTGGCTCTTCCCAAAGTGGTGATCCAGAGATTCAGGCTGTTTTCATCTTCAGTGCAGGGAATGTATGCTGGACCTTTAACCACCTTGGCCCAGAAGTGACACTAATCACTTTGCCTCACATTCCACTGGCCATGCATGTAGATGCAAGGGGGTGGAGAGATGTAGTCTTGGGTAGGCAGCTGCTTCCTGGCAGCTGCATTCTGAGAGAGCGTGAACATTTGGTATGGGGTGATGGCTCCCACTGCCACAGGGAATTGCACATGAGGGAGCACAGAATGAAGTAAAGGGACGTGATTCCTAGCCTAGGGTGTGTGTGGAAGAAAGGAGAGGAGTAAAGAAGAAGAGACTAAAAAGGTCAGCCATTACTGGATGGCTCAGGACTCAGGACAACATACCAGAGAGACCTCTCCTTCTCCCCCAGATGTGTGGAACTGTTAGAAGTGTGACATGGCCAGATTTGCATCTCTTCACAGTACACTCATTTCTCTTTTTTTTTCTGTACAAAAAGAGAGTGAGAGTTGTGCAAAGAGTTAAACACTGGATTTTCATCCTAACTCTGCCAACTGCTGCTTACCAACCCTTGCTACCTACTTACGCTGGCTACTTAGTATCTCTGAGCCTCAGCTTATCAATAAAATGGGCACAAAACTATATGTACTCTCTATTCCAGAGAGGTATGAAGATCAAATAGATAATGTCAGGCAAACATCCTTTGGCAACTACAAACTGCTCTACATATACAAGGGGATTTAGTTACTCTACTTTGCCTCTGCCTGAGGGGAGATATTTTTTCCCAGAGCATGAAAGTATAACTCAATGACTGCTAAGTTCCTGAAATATATCCACTTCTGTGATGACCTACCAATGGTAGAATAAGAAATGAGCTCAATATTACCTCTATAAGAAGAAATAAATACAATTAGAGGCAGCTCCAATGCTTCCTAAGGTGCTATGTAAGAAAGCATAATGGAATTACCTGTGTTAATGACTTTTCTTCTTCCACAGTCTTGGAAACCACAGATGGAAAGGGCTGAGGTAGTGTATTTCCGTTAGAGCCTAAGTATTTGCTTTGACTCTTAGGGTTTTTTTCCCCACAGAATTTATCCTTGGTCCTCCAAGGCTTTGTTTTCCAAAGTTGCATGGCTTATGTAGAGAAAGGGAAATGTCCCTCTACCTCCTCACTGTCTCTTCCCATGGCATGACTGAAAATTTACTTGTTAAGATTTTTTAATATCCACATAAGTGGGCAGCAGATGGACTTATCTGGACAGTGCTAGCAAAAGATTGGATTCTTTTTCAAGGCCTAACTCGGTTTTGAAATAGCCAAATGATTAAAGTTACTTTGGCTTGCATTTTTAGAAAATTTTCTCAGCTTATAATTTGTCACTACTTCTCTAGATATGGCCTGGGTCTGTTAAAGTATCTTTTTACCAAGTGGACCAAATTTCCAAAAGTCCAACCACATAAGGCTCCCTCCCATCTCTGTCTCTTTTTCTTTCTCCCAATTTCCTTTCCCCCATCTCTCTGCTAATGGTGAGATGTTCCTTTAGTTTTTAGTCTGCAGCATCACGAGAACTGGAAAACACTGCTCTAAGATGTGCTTCGTGCCATCTTAATAAATTAGATAAAGAACTTCATTTACACATTTCCAGGGCACCTGTTCCCAGAGCATCCAGGTGCAATTACCATTGTCTCTTAACTTTGCATCCATACCCTGGGCTGAACTTGGAATTTAGAGTGTTGTGTTTTTAATCGAAGAAAGTTCTAGAAAGGTTCTTCTGAATGTAGTGCATTTTTCTTTGGGACCGTGGATTGCATTCTCCAACTTAACAGCCTCCATTTCTTAAATGGCACTTGTGAGTGTTCTTACAACAGACCATGGCCACATGAAGATGATGTATTTCCTGGGGAGGATGAGGAAAAGAGAATACTGTTATTTCTAAAAGTATAGACAGCCTGATAGCCAATTTTGGAGTCTGGGTGACATTTTAAATTGGTAATGCTCCTAATTACCCAAACCCTAGGAAACCGTATGGAATACAGCCACAGCTCTAGATTAATATAAGTGAGCACTGTGAACCCATTACTAACAGCATGTTCTCTTAGAATAATGGCACAGTATCTGTGTCATCACAGTGTGATGTTGCAGTTAAAATGCACACACACACATCTTAATAATTCTTGTTTTTTGGCAAATTTTTCCTGCTATAATTTTTTAACTTTTCTAATTTTTCCAACAAACATACTGCTTTGTTTCCTTGTCAACCATTGTCTATTGGTATTGCCGTGTTGAAATGTCAGTTTTATAGAAGACGAATGTCAGCAAGCAATGTATGATAATAAAAAACATGAGCATGAAGGCAGACATGTTCAGAGTCAACTCTTAGCCTCCCTATTTATTGCCAGCTGAACTTGAGGTGGTTGTTCAGTGTCTCCGATTTTCAGGGATTTTTTTTAACCTATTACATGGGCATAATAATGTTGTCTACTCATATTGTTATTGTGAGGAGGTAAAGCCAAGTAAAATGTCTTGTTCAAAGTTAGTGCCAAAAGATGCTGAGACTAAAAGGCATCAATGAGACAGAAATACAGTAACTCGAAATTTCAATGATCAGGCTGAGATTCGAGCCTTAGCTCCAGCAGTGGTTGGAGAAAGGGGCTGACCACATACCATCCACCCCTTGCATGCAGGGTTCAGTGTTGGCCTTTTTGTGCCAGTAAATGGCGGTTTTCTTGATCTAAGATCCAGATCTGAACACAGAGAGTGGAAGAAAAATTTCATCACTCCACCACCTTCATCTGCTCCTACCCTCCAGAGAAACCTCTCCAACTTTATGGAGGGGGCCTGGTATAAAAGCACACACCTCACTTTTGAATTTTTCAAGACTATCTTCAGTGATTTCTAAACCTAGATATATCATTCCAAAAATTACTGGCCACCATTTTCGTTTGTTTATGCTGATAGAATTGGTGGAGCAAGCTCATTTGTGACACCTACTTCTCTTGGCCCTAAGCATCCTCAAAGCAGTCCATGTTACAAAGAAACTATCATAATAGCAATAATTTGTGAAACATCAATTATGTGCCAAGTGCTTTGCATGCTTTCATATTATTTAATCTCTACATCCATTTCTAAGAGTGTTTGTTATTAACCCCATTTAACATGTGAGAAAAACAAGGTTCACGGAGATTCATAACCTTGCCAAGGTAAGGCCACTAGAAACATCAAAGCTAGTATTTTAATAAGTCTGACCTCAACACCCAAAGCTGGCTTTGTGCCAGTAGCCAAGCACTTGTTTGTGTTTTCACACTTTTTGTTTTTTGTCTTCTTTCCTTTCGAGTGGTTCTAGATGTTGGTTGTGGATCGGGAATCCTGTCATTTTTTGCCATACAGGCTGGAGCTAGGAGAGTTTATGCAGTTGAAGCCAGTTCAGCAGCACAGTATGCTGAGGTAAGTGGTTGTAGTTTTAAGGCAGTTAATAAGTGGGTCTTCAGTATACTTCAGGGTACCCAGCGATGGAGTCTTCCACGTAGGTCATTTAGAATAATTTTTTTTTTAACCAGTGATATGGTTTGACTGTGTCTCCACCCCAGTCTCATCTGGAATTGTAGTTCCCTTTATTGCTAGTGTTGTGGGAGGGAGCTGGTGGGAGATAATTGAATCATGGGAGCAGTTTTCCCATACTGTTCCATGGTAGTGAACAAGTCTCACAAGATCTGATGATTTTATAAGGGAAAACTCCTTTTTGCTTGACTCTCATCCTCTCTTGTCTGCCACTATGTAAGACATGCCTTTCACCTTCTACCATGATTGTGAGGCCTCCCCAGCTACGTGGGACTGTGCGTCCATTAAACCTCTTTTCTTTATAAATTACTCAGTATTAGGTATGTCTTTATCAGCAGTGTGAAAATGGACTAATAAAACCAGTCTCTAATTTTTGCTGTATTGGAATGTTACCACCAATCAAGCCTGATTTCCCTGTAGTGATTGATACGAAAAAATTAATTTTTTTAATTGTCACGATACTGAAATTGTAGCAAAATCTTCTCCTTTCCCATCCACTGGGTGGCAGATGGAGCTGGGGTAGAGGAAGGGAGGCATGAATGTTTTCTTTTAATTATCCGGGTGAGGAGTAATATTTCACTGCAGTTAGATTTATTTTTTTCCTTTTAAGTGTTGTAATGACAATAGCTACACCACTCTAAATTTTACTTTTGGTTTAAGGGGCTGTTGCTACATGGTTGTAGTAAGAGGAAGAGACAGGTTTCTGTGTTTCAGGGAGCTTTTTAAGATTTCAGGTTCTGATTGGAGGAGAGGGAGAAGATTTGTTTTAAATGTAGTGCTCTATTATCGTTATGAAATGTGTACAAATATTATAAAATAAGTCAAAGTCAAGAGTCAGGTAATAATGGCTTTCAGTAATATTTGGATGTAATAATAACCCAATCAAACTGCAGAATTGGATATGTGTGCACCCGTGTGAACAGGGTAATGTGCTTGTCATTCATACCTGGAGGAGGGCTGAATTTTAATGAGGGGTAGGATGACAGATAGAGAGAAAAGCTTGGCTGCTGCTTCAGATGAGCATCATGAAACCCTCTTCCAGTCCGGACAACTGGTACCTCTGAGTGATAGTTGGTTTTGGCATAAGTGAGCAAAGAGGAACCCAGAGACAAGTAAACAACTCTGGCATGTTTGAAGGGAAAGATTGTCAGAGTCTAATGGCTTGGTATGTTGTTGTATTTTCTTTTCTTTTTCCAGCAAGTCCTGAAGAAAATATTTTCAGTCATTTTTTTCTTCACCAATTCTTAAATGTCATTTTTATTGAATATTGACTACACGCCAAATAATATTTGTGGGGGTGTGTGTGTGTGTGTATATATATGTATATACATGTGTGTGTATATATATATAGTGTAAAGAATAACATACAATGAATGTGTGCCTGCTTCCCCTTTTAAGAAATAGACCATTAGCATTTTCTTTAAAGGCCCATGTACCTTGTCCTTCCTGATCACATTCCTTTTTTTTTTTTTTTTTTTTTTTTGAAATGGGGTTTCGCTCTTGTTCCCCAGGCGGGGGGAGGGGGGGGTAATATTGGCTCATTGCAACTTCTGCCTCCTGGGTTCAAGTGATTCTCCTGCCTCAGCCTCCCAAGTAGCTGGGACTACAGGGGCCTGCCACCCTGCCTGGCTAATATTTGGTATTTTTTTTTAATAGAGACGGGGTTTCACCGTGTCAACCAGGATGGTCTCGATCTCCTGACCTTGTGATCCGCCCGCCTTGGCCTCCCAAAGTGCTGGGATTACAGGCGTGAGCCACCACGCCCGGCCCACATTACTTTTTTTGCCCTAAACAGAGGTAGTCACTACTGTGAATTTTTATTTATCACTCTCTTATTCTTTATACTTTTACCACATATATTTCTATTCCTAAAAACATATCACTTATGAACTTTCCACCAATGGGCTCATAAGTATGCATTCTCCTGCAATTTGCTTTTTTTCACCCAACATCGTGTTCCTGAGGGCCATCTTTGTTGGTGCATACAGCTGTTGTTTATACATTTTCAATGCTGTAGAGTGTCTCGTGATATGATATGCCTCAAGTTACTGGTCTTGCTGGCAGACTTTGGATGGCTTCCATTATGAAAGTATTATTATGAATAGTTTTGCACACGGTCTCCACTGCGTCTTTGCTGGTTTCTCAGGCATACACGGGAGTGGAAATGTTGAGTCATAGGGTGTGCATACCTTCGACTTTGCTATGTAATGCCAAATTGTTTTCCAAAGTGGCTGTGCCCATTTTTATTCCCTCTAGCAGTATATGCGTGCCATTGTTCTATGTTTTTGTCAGCACTTTGGTATTGTCAGACTTTGAAATTTTTGCCAATTTAGTGGTTATGACAGGATCCTTGTGGTTTTAATTTGCTTTTTCCACTTACTGATGACTTTGAACATATTTGCAAGCATTTTGGCCATTTGTGCTTTCTCTTCAGTAAAATGCGTATTCAGGTTTTTGACAATTTTTCTTTTGAATTGTCTAATTCTAATTTATTTGTAGGAATGAATTTTATTTTCTAGATATTAATCCTATATCAGTAATGTATGTAGCAAATATCTTCTCCCCTTTTGTACCTTACATTTTCTCTTTCCTAATGGCCCTAGTCAGCTTTAGATACAGAGGTCTAAAAAAGAATAGAGAAAAGGAGGATAAAAATATGTAGAGAGAACTCCATAGATTAAAATGCCTCTGCTTAGATATTAGTAGATTTTAAAATGAATTCTCAAGGTGAGGGGTTGAATTTAGAACTTTATTTTAGGTGCTGCTTATTCATTTATTCATGTCTTTACTCAATTGCACTCTACAATTCCGTTGTTGGGCAATACAGGAGAAACAGTAACAATCAAGGTCTCTTCCTATATTCAAAGAGCTTTGATTTTTCATAAGGTATTGATCTTGTTGTATCTTATACAAGAGACCAAAAAATAAAATAAAAGAGTGGCATAAATAATTTGGGAGTTTTCTTTTCTTCATATAGTTTGTTTTTTTCATATATTTTAAAGTGGTTTGAGATACTTTAGCTACTTTTAAAACCTTAAACATCTAATGTCCTTGGATATAGTACTTTAAGGAAAAAGAGGAAGAAATTAGCTAGAGATATTCTCACCTTCCTGAGCCATAATCCTGTCTCCAGCCATAGCAAGTGCAAGTACACTGTGATTGTGCCTGTGAATAGCCACTGTACTCCAACCTCGGCAACATAGCAAACCCCTATCTTTAATAAGTAAATAAAATAAGCAAATAAGTAAATAAAAAGAGTTCAAAGACTACTCAAATTCCCTTTCCCTAGAATCACCTATTGTTTACATTTCACCCTGTTTGCTTTATCATTTGTTCTAGCTTGCCTTCCCACCACATGCAAACATACATTAATATTAATATGTATACACATATGTATTTGAACACACATATGTATATGATCACACACATTTATGAACATATAGACACATTTATATAAACATGAATGTATATATGAAAAACACATGTATATGAACACTATGAGTGTACATGTATGTATATGAACACACACATAAGTATATGAACACATATACATGTATGTATATGAACACATACATGTATGTCCAGAGATATAGAGACACATACTTTTTCTATGGGTCAGTTATAGATATCATAGCCATAACCCTTTATCATTAAGCATTTCAGTGTGTATTTCCTAAAAACAAGACTTTTATATAACCAAAAGAGAACTTGATTTAAAGCTGAAGAATAAGCTATATGATGACTTTCTCATTCAGTCTTTCAGTGTTGGTGGTAACAGGTGTTTGCAGTGGTCCCAGCATGAGCAAGGAGACTGTCACCATGGTGCTGAGGTGAGAGGAGTCTATACTTAACTGCCTCTTCCCTTCCCTTGCATAGTATTTCTAGGAAGGCTTGATTTTTGGGGTGGTGGCAGTGGGGGGACTGGGTCTTGCTCTTTCACCCAGGCTGGAGTGAAGTGGTGTGGTCTTGGCTCACTGCACACTCTGCCTCCCGGGTTCAAGCGATTCTCCTGCCTCAGTCTCTTGGAGGCTTGATTTTGAAAACATTAGAACCAAAGTTCTAAGGAATTCCAAAGCACCATAGTTTATCTTTGGTTTTAGCTTCTGTAGAGGATTTGTGTGTTACAGGAATCTTTCTTTTCTATGTACAACTGGGGCAGGTTGGGGACAGGAGTGGCTTTCCAAATGCTGTCAAGGACTGCTGGGAGCCCTTGAAATCCTTGCTCGCAAGTCTGTTTTGCTCCTGAGGCTTCCCCTGCATGTGGTCCTAAGAACAGGCTGGTTAAAAATGTATTCAGCGCCAAGGATGATTAGAATCTTCTCAAAGTGTGGATTTAACAACAGACTGGTCCCTCCTGAAATCCATGACCTCTACTCTGCCCATAGCTCCTGCGTGGGTGTCATGAGATGCTCCCCAGGGACCAAGGCCCTTTCACCTTGTGGAGGATGATCTGTACCAGCACGTGGTTTTTGCTTCTCACACCAACACTCATCTGTACAGTTTGTGGGTGGAAAAATGCGACTGTGAACAGCACGGAAAAGAATTTTACTCTAAGAATAGGCTGAACTAGCAGCTCCGCACACAGTGCATGGTGCTCCTTTCGACCTTTTCATTACTTGGTAATTGAACCAGCAGACATTTAATTCTTTTCTCTGGAGTCTTCATTAAATTTCTCGGCAAAGATAAAATTGCAACAAGAAAGAAAAATGTACAAATTTAACAACCATCTCCTGTCCCTGGATTCTTCACACGCCAGGCTTCTAGGCTTTAAGTAAACAGAATACTTTCAAATTGCATTGAATTCAATTTCAGTTTCACTTAGTAGAACAGCCTGATTTTGTAAGGGTTGGTCCTTGGTAGGCAGGCTGATGGCAATGACTTCTTAT